CCCGTGTCTGTGGCTCCCCCTCCTCTAGGCCAACGCGCAGCCTGAGCCTCGGCCACGAGCCACGGCTGCCTCATGGTCGCCTTAGGCCAAGTGGTTTTTTTACAGATGGGAGTTAAGGTTTGTTTCAAGAAACCGACACTCTGGTCCTACTTTTCCCCCTCTACGCAGTGATCAGTGTGAGGTTTCTAAGTAAGCATCGCACTGGCCTCCCAGCCCGCAGTGCCGTGGGAGGCTCGGGGCAGCTCAGCTCCGGTCGGCCGGCTTCCGTGGCGAATTCTCAAAGGCCGATGGTTGCCACCGTGCTGACTTCTAAGGCCATACTTCTGATCCTCTGACCCTTTGATTTCCCCACCTCTTATTATTCGTAGTTTAGGCAAGTTTTTAGTCACGCATGAATGCTGAATTGTATCAAAGTATTTCTGACAAATTATAGATGCACTGAGCGCACGTGTTCTCGCCTCTAACGCAAAGGTGTTCAAATGACATAACGACGGTGGCTTTATTTTAATATTACTGGACTCCGTCAGTGAACGGAAAGAAACAATGCAGTATTTTATACAGTCGAACTGGGCACACAGTAAAGACATCTACAGCAATTCCAAATCGTCATCTCTAAAGGAAATCCGTTGTATATGCGCTGTTACATATTAATTACTCTGGAAAGTTTCTGAACTCTGTTTAAGAGCAGATCTCCTTTCTTGATAGTTTCTTGGTACTGCCAGTTCTTGCTGTCAGGTCTAGAAATAAAGTGAAGAAAAAGACGAATTATTTCCCAGGCACACCGCTCCGTGACGACAGCTGACCAGCCTTCCAAGAGCCGCCCGTCAGCACGCCTGTGCTCTGAGCGGTAGTGCCAGCAACACACCGCCCTGCGTTACCTGTTGGTTTCCACTATTTCGTTCACTTTATCGATTTTGCAGTGTAGCCTCCCTGCAGCGATGAATCTGGAGAGTTCCCTAACAGAGAAGAGAGAGAGCCTTGAGCGTTCTGAGCCTTACTGCGAGTTGTTAGGGACACGGTCTTTGAAAGGTCGCCGCGGTGGCCTCTGGGGCCCGCTCCCCCGCCCCGGAAGCCCGTGACCCCGCAAGTTCCCACTCACGCGCGGCAGAGGTATCAAAGGGCGAGGCCATTCACAGCGGCCCGGGTGCTTAGGGAGAGACTGTAAGGGGTGAGAGAAAT